CACTCATATATTAAAGGTTTGTTTACCTGCGGTTGTGTTTTGTTTTTGCCATGGAATGAAAACAGCGATGTCTTGTCGCCGTTGTAATAAACACAGTGGAAGTTTAAGTATTAGGTAAGGCCTGTTGAGGCACTAACTTGAACGGATTAGTGGCTGCCAGCAGATAAAACAGTGGGGCCAAATCGAATTATCATCTCGTAAATGTCAGGAGGACATCAGCCCATTAACTGTGTGTTTCAGACATAATAAAGCCGTCAATCATCTCACTCCCATCACTGACCCTCTACTGTAGGCCTTATTCTGCTGTACCTGTGTATCAGCAAAGTGAACTGTTTTCATTTGCCCCCCCCCCCAACCTCAGCCCCCCCACTCCTCTACAGACTTATCACTTGTTTCCTGCAACTACAGCCTCTTGTGAGTCAAATTGATTGAGTCGTCCTTGAACATCTGTTGTTCAGCCAAGCCTCAAAGGTAATCCTGCTAATGGCCCTCTAAGCTATCCACATAAACACACACATAAATAAAAATGTTTCCAAAGAGATTTGGTCATTGACTCGCTGCTAATCAATTCTGCAGCCGCATCTGTTGATAAAGGTTTGGGAAGTACACAGTGAGATATATGTAACGATCAATGCCTGGCACTGGGCTGGCCGGGCAGTGAGTGACAGTCACAGCTCCACCGGGAGTCAACATTTACACACAGATGGACTGGGCCTGTCGGATGTCTTGGCAAAAGGCTGCAAAGCACCCGCACTTACACAAAACGAGGAAGCACTGACCGACAGAATGTTGTCCATCAACGACACAAGGGGCGAAATTACTGGGTTGTGTGAAGTGGAGTCAATAACTGGAAAACGTAGCATTCCATAATTTGAGCAGCGAGGCTCTGGAGCAGACTGATATGACTGCTGCTGGATGAACGCCTCTTTGGAGAGAAGTGTTTTAAGAGTTTAGAAGAAAAGAGAGGGAAGATAGCGCCTGCAGCACATTTACATTTACCTTCATTTTAAAATGGTTACTTACAAAAGTGAAGAGCTTCTAAAAAAAAAAAAGTTAGACTTAACTACATATAATATGCGATCATTTGAAAAAGGTGCGCTTTTATAAAATGTATAAAATAGTTTTCCTTCTGCGATTTTAGTTGGCGCCGGAACTTCTTTCTTCTTTCTGTGTCTAAGAAAAGACAAACAAAAGAAAATACCTGCAGCCTTCTTAACATGATACTCGTGTGAAGACAGCTGGAAATTCTTCCAACACCTGTGATTACAGCCAAAGAAATATCTGCATAAGACACACAAGCCGGGCTTTTTTGGATCAGGGCTGCTGCCAAGTAATATTCATAAATTTAATTTTCAATCTGCTTTCCTTTTATTAGTTTGGGCATTATTAAATGAGATTGCTTCATCTTAATATATTTCCAGGGCCTACCACTGTGACTAGGAGCCCATATTCAAATTCAATAAAACAGCCTGTACTTAGTGCATGGCACTAATAAATGCCAATGTGTGATGCATATGAAGACGGGGCTCAGCGGGACGTCGCACTGAGCAATAATAAAGCTGTGACTGTCCTTCAGAGGTGAGATATGCTTCTCTCTCTACCCTTGTGCACGTCTCCTCATATGGCAGAAAAGAAAAGCCCAGGTGACCTACATACGGAGATAGTTAGGAAGTGGGTGGCTGAAGAGAGGAAAAGCAACATTCATATTTCCCTGTATTTTATTAACTAAACCAGAGAAATCCTTGAGGACTGCAATACACTGTCTGTGTTTCTGTTCTCCACCGGAAGACCAGAATTGTACATCAGGATTTTGACTGCCATGTGACCAGAACCTGGACCACGGGAAGAATTGGGACTGCTGGATCCATGTACTGTGGTGTTTGTAGTAGCCCTGAAGACATAGTACTCAACAGTATCGCGGCTGCAGCTTCTCACCTCTTGGCCTCTGCAGGGTTAATAGCTGGTTCTTTGACTTTTTCCTGTTTTATCACCGGAACCCGACAACTGCTCCTCCAAAGGTTGCAGCTTTAGGAAGCTTAGCCACAGCAGCGAGTGACCTTTACTTTTATTATGAATATTTGTATTTCATCATGATTATAGAGTCAAATCTGTGCACATGATCAGCACAATGGATTCCTTTTTCATTAGTTGTGTAAAATGCCAGTCAGTGAATACAGGGGCAGCGCGAGCCGCGTGACAGATTACCCTCCTGACTGCCCCCCTCGGCTGTGGGGATCTGACAATTGGAATTAATATGCGAGGAGTTTTCCTTCTCCATTTGCAGGCTGGGGTTTTTCAGGCAACTTTATCAGGGGTTACAATATCGAGAGCTTTGCCGAGAGCTTCTTCATCATGCTCACTTCCGAGCCTGCCCAACACTTGTCACTGTCAATCAAGAGGTGATAATACACAGATGATTCTCTCATTTGGTTTAATAAAATCTCCAGGCTTATTTGAACTGCAGTCATTACAGCAAATAATTGCTGCACTGAGGTTTTGGCCCTGGCCATAGCCTGGGGGATGAGGAAAGAGTATTGCTATATGAAGCAATTGCCTGATGTTTTTCTAGCCTTTACTCCCAAGTTGTTCATATTTTTTTAAATGAATATTACATTTGAATCTACATTTGGCTTTCTTTATTCAAACTAACATTGTTATTACAGATTATCTGGACACGGAGTCATCTGTTTTCACTTTTTTATGACTACACTGTCAAGACAGGTTTCACCAGGGACATCCAATTGTAATTTTTAACTGTCATTTTAACCAAATTGTAGATCCGATTCTGTGTGCCTAAAATTCTCTGAAGGAAAAGACTGACAGAAGGAACATATTTCATCTTAAATTTCAATTCTAGCCCTACAGATGAATGTGTGTAGCTGCAAAATGTTACTGAATCCAGAACATTTTAGAGATGAACAATGAGACAATAAAGCATCCTATTCTATTATGGAGGCCACAGAACATTTTAAGTATGTGTTTCAATTCAGCTGAAGTGGGAATCACTTTCTGCTCCACTCTTCGTCTTCACAGTGGTGATCCACACAGTTATCTGGTACAGTTTTCAGGCCAGAAGCAGAAGAAAATTTGACAACAAAACAAAAAAAAAAACTTTAAAAAAAAAAGGAAATGTAGTTGCAATGGATCACATATTCAATATGTTAATCCAATCTCCTCCATTTTAATTACATCCATTAGAATATTTGTTTGACCAAACAAGGTCATAATACTTGATTAAATAAAAGAATCAATGACGAAGGGAAAAAAAATCTCATTACAAAAGCAATGGTGTGGATATTTGTACCCTTGTTTGTGCCACACACTCAATGTCAATGAGGGTAAAGCGGTATTAGCTTATTTATTTGGAGATGGTCTTTGATTTGTACGTGTCAAAAGAACGATGGATGACCTTGTGCTATCAACTGTCCCAACAGTTGAGCCACGGCACAAATGACTTTTGTCAGTGACGTATACTTGAAGCAATATGCAGTCAGATAACAATAACAAAGTCAATAATTTGTATTTACTCTGAAACTTGGACAAAGTAATTTCTCTCAATTAATGCAATCACCCAACCATTAAATTAGTTTTTTTTTCTTGCCCTGAAATAATAATTAGGTGTAATTGTTTGGAAATCAATCAATCAACAGAATGAACTGACAATGAAGCATGGTCAGAACTAAAGCACTATGTGACACAGATGGCTTGGATACGCCGTATCCCCCAAGGGTCTTTTACCATGCAGCATACACACAAATTAAAAATGAAGACAACAAAATGTGAGTGCTATGTTAACTATGTACTTCTCTACAGCACTTTTAATTGCATAAAAGTCAAGGTAGATCTTAGTGAGTACTTAGTAAGTACTCTTAGTCACTCTGGTAATGTATTTATTTATTTAACAGGGTTAACAGTTGTTAGATATACATTAATAGTTTGAATCTGTGTCCAGACTGCCTGTTGTTGTTCCTATCTTTATTTGTACCTGTATTTATTTGATCAGATTATTATCCAAATATACACAAATATTATCTGTTGCTGTAAATTTTCAACTCCCTACAAAGTATGTTTAGAATTTTGAGGCAGATGGTTTATCTAGATAAGGAAAAGAAGATCTGAGATGTCATTAGTCACATCACAAAACATTTAATGCAGACAACATTTTTTTGATCATTTTCATTTTATTTGCTTGATTGTTCACACATAGTATTATAATTAAGTCTTAAAGAAGCAGACATACAACAAAATCGTTTTGTCCTGATCTAATCCTCGGATTATTTGTATTTGTGTGGCAAAAAAACAAACAAAAACCACAGTAATTAGCAGAAAGTTTCACAAAAATATAGTCATTATTTACTCAGCAGTAGGATTAATGTTACTTCTATTGTTAGTATGGTTATGGTTGTTTTGACGTGTGCTTATTGAAATAGTGATGAGTCTTAATTAGTTTAATCTTGCATAAAATATAAAATGTGATTATTAAAAAACATTACAGAAATCATTTTTCTTAAAAATTCAAATAAATAATATTCCTAAATTGCCTAAAGAGCAAAAAATATATTTAAAAGTACTTGCTTTACTTATTTTTTTAAATTATTTGTTATATAAATTGAACACAACAATCCATAACATTTGCAAAACGTCTATATGCACTGTAATTCCGATCTACAAACAATAATAAACGTTTGACCAGTTAGTTGGATTAAAATAAAATCATTATGTTCATTGTTGTTGTCGACATTCAATGCTTATGAATGAAACTTAGATTTTTATTTTGGTTCATAATCCGACAACACGTAAAGGAAGCGTCGTTCTAAATCAATGTACGTTCTCGCATTGCGTGACAGGACCCCTGGCCAATCAGCTGTGAGGTCAACCATTCTTTGAACAAATGAAAATTCTAGTTTGGGGATTGAAACGCCCGTCCTCAAGTTAGATTGAACTCTGCTGGCAGTGGG